TCATTTATGTATTAAGGATACATTTTGATAGTCTATGTTCTGTAATGATACTATTTTAGTATTATGAGTATGATGATGTGAATTTTATGTATATGGAATATGAGGGTTGTTTCAATTCAATTCAATTCAATTTTTATTTGAGTTTAAAATAGTTCTTATCTTAAAAGCTTTAATTAAATAACCAAGAACTATGGTGGTTGGTGTTTCTTTGAATGATTTTGAGGTTGAGACTATAAGCTCTACTCTGATGAGATTTAAGAGCTTTGAGAGTTTTGTATTGAATGTCTGTGAGGATTTGAGTGGTTATATATCCTTTGAAGTAAGGAATGTATTTATAACTTGCAGTTCGTTGTATTACTGAAGTTATATTCATCAAAGTGGTTAGGTGTTCAATTGTGATTTTCATAACAAGTTTTGGTGATCTTCACCTTGTAATTGCAAAGAAAAAGGATTTCTCATTAGACCTCATGGTCTAACCCTCATTTTGTGTTTTAAAAATATGCATTGCAGGTCCGGCTATGTCTAAGGATAAGGGGAAGAGAAAAATTTATTCTTTTCCTATTGTGCTTAACTGCTCTATGAAGATCAACATATTATCTGATGAATTTTTGGAATACTTGTTGTTTATACAAGTGATGTTCAAGAATATTATTTTGGATTTTTTGAGTTGTAAATTATGTAATATAGTTTCTTATACTGATTGGGACCGAAGTTGTGTTATTATATTTCTTAAGATATGAAATACATGTTTATATGCAAAGGTGGAAAGTAGGGTGTTACAGAGTTGGTATTAGAGCCTGATTTTAAGGGATTTAGGTATTCAAGCATGATGCCTAGACTTAAATTATATTATTTGCATATTAAGGGTCCCGAACATAGATAGAACCATTGGGGATAAATATGATGGGTTAAGAGGACAATATGTAAGGTAAATTCGAATTACAAGTGGCCAATATAATTATGAATTGCAGGTACATATATGTATTAGACACCTTATTATATTTGGGAATGTGATTATTAATATTGAAAATCTGTAGATGGCTAGTCGTTTTAGAAGGTCTGAAAGGATCGCCCTCCCTAACCTATATGATAGAGAAAATTCCCCTGATAATGCTTCAACAAGTGTGTCTGAAGGTCGAGGCAGTGGAAGAGGTCGGGGTAGAGGCCGTGGAAGGAGTCAGGGAAGAGGAAGGCAAAGTCAGTATGAGATTCATCCAGACTAGGGTGAGTCTATTTCTAGAAATATTAATCAAGAACCTATGCCACACCCAGAGTATGTGACACGAGATGTATTAGCGGATGAGATGAGCAAACCAAGAGAAACTATGACATCTATTATGGGGATATCAGCCCGAGTTGAAACTGAAAGAGTGGAGGTAAATCCCCAAATTCAAGCTACAAGCAGCAAAGGAGGTGATATAAAGATGTTATTGACCTGTAAACCCCCAACATTTTCTGGAAAAAGAGATCTGGTTAAAGCAATGTGCTTGTTGAAGGAGATTGAATCTATGTTTACCAGCAATTGTCCAGAAGAATATAAGGTTAGATTTGTTGTCTCGATGTAAAAATCTAATGCTTTATATTGGTGGAATGTAGAATCATTGGCCAAACCGGATATTTTGCAAACCATGCTTTGGTCAGAATTTGTAAATAAATTTAAAGAACAATTTTGTCCAAAAGCTGCAGATAGACAAATGAGGAAGACTTTTTGAAGTTAGAATAGGGCAATCGGACCGTACAGGAATATACATAGAGATTCATTGAACATTCCCGATTTGTAGAGCACTAATTTCTTCTGAAGCTAGAAAGGATGAGAGGTATATCTGTAATAACTGGGATTTAAGGCAACAATCATTGAGGTAATCTATATGTGATTATTATGTGATAATGTGCATATTTATTTATAAGGTTGATTATATGCATGGGTAAATTGCATAAATTGTATATATATGCGACTGTGTCACTGTGCATACATGAGAATTGTTAAAATATATGTGTATGCATATTCTTGGTTAAGGAGTAGAAGGAGGAGGGGTATTATAATATTAAACCTCCACCGCCTTGTGAATTTTATACTAATAAACTTCACACCGCCTTTGAAAAAATATATAAAGAAGATAAGATCAATCTTTTCTTATGGGATATCTTTATGAAAAAGAAAAGCGTGTGTGTGGCGGTGAAGGTGTGTTCTTGAGAGAAAACCAGCGTAAAAGTGATTTGAAGTTTCTGTGTTGATTATTTGAAGCGTTGATGTGTAAACTATCCTCAAATCTGTGCATAAGGTGAGGTTTATTATTAAAATCCTTATATATTGAAATTTGAAATATATGAACTTCGATAGATGATTTTATGAAGAAAGGTAAACTGCTTTAGCAGTTGATTTGAACTTTATGAATCTGGGTTTAGAAAACTGTTTTGAAATATAAAGAAGATTTTGCTTCTTTTAAAACAGTTGAAGATGATATCCTATTTTTAAGGATAAAAGGGTTTTGAGTTTGGAAAAAATATATTAAAGAGCTGTTTGTTCTTGAGTTCCAAAGTTTGAAATAAAAAGGTTTTAAAATTGTTATATTGGCTAAAACTATGGAGGTCGGTCCATCTTGATTGGAAATAATTCGTAGATTTTGATGAGGAAATAAGGGTGGCATATCAAGGAAAGATGTTCCATGGGATAAGGAGAGGTGTACCTTTAGATATAAGGGTGGCATATGAAGGAGAGGTGTACCTTTGGACATAAGGGTGACATTTGTATGTGTGATCGTTATTATAGCTCTTACTATTATGTCTCTTAAGATTGCAATAGTTTTGAGTTCTTATTTCTTTGTGATTTGAAGATTCAAAAATGTTGCTCTTTTTGGAAATAATAGTAATGATGTTATTGAGAAGGGGAAAATTTGGTTTATGGCCAGAGGTTTTGGATAACCATGCTTTTGACTTAGTGTAAAAATTATGAGGAACCAGAGAGGTTCTGGTCGTTCCTTGAAAGGAACTAGAGGAGCTCTGGTTATTCCTCAAGTAGAACTAGAGGGGCTCTGGTTAATCTCTTTTATGATAAATCCTTATTTATAAAACTTTTACCTGGACCAGAGGCTCTGTATGTATTGTATAGAGCCTCTGTGTCATAAAGATTGTATTTTAAAATTGTTCATAAGACTTCTTGCTCTTATTTAAACTTAGAAAATTATGTATACAAAATGACTATGGCAAAGAAAACAAACTAGAGAGGCTCTGGTTGTTCTTTACAACTTAATCAGAGGAGCTGTGGTTGGCTTTTGTAGATAAACCAGAGGCTCTGGTTAGTAGGACCAGAGGCTCTAGACATGCGAATGATTTTAAATTATACTCTCTCTCTCTCTTTCTCTCTCTCTCTCTCTCTATATATATATATATATATTTATATACTCGAGAAATATTTACATTTTTCCTATGTACTTGACTTTGTAATTATATGAATATTAACTTGAAGAGGACCTCTGGTTGATATAACCAGAAGCTCTGGTCAAAGGAATCAGAGGGGCTCTGGCCCTGCTGTATGATGAATAAAATCTTTCAAAGTCAAAAATCTGGTCTTACAACCAGAGGGATGCTGGTTGTTGTAAATTATGAGTTATATTCTATTTATATGAAAAGTTGATTTTAAATAATGTTTTGGTGATCTTCACCCTGCAACTACAAGGTAAAAGGGATCTCACTAGACCTTCAGGTTTAACCCTCATTTTGTCTTTCAAATATGTATTGTAGAAACAACTGAGTACCATGATAGTAAAGGGAAAGGGAAAATGTAATTTGTTTCCCTATGTGCATAACTATGTGAAGATCAGCCTGTGGATGTGTTTAATTTTGAAGTTATATGTTATGTACTACAAGAACCTGTATTTTGGAATTTTTGGATTGTGTATTTTGTATTTTAGATTCTTGTGCTAAGGGACCTAAGTGGTGTAATATATGTAATTCTCTAATTGAATTATGTGTTATATGCAATGTGAGATGTGGGGTGTTACAGAAGTCGTATCAGAGCCTGAGTTTAATGGATTTAGATATTCAAAGCATGATGCCTAGACTTAAACTATTTCATTGCTTATTAAGGGTCCTGGACATAGTTAGCACCATTGGACATAAATATGATACGTTAAGGGATCAATGTGTAAGGTACATTCGAATTACATCTGGCTAATGTAATTATGAATCTACAAGTACATAACTGAACTTGGACACTTTATTATATTTTGGAATGTGAATACGTGATTATTAACATTAAAATTTGCAGATGACTAGCCGGTCATGAAGGTCTGAAAGGATCGCCCTCCCCAATCCTAATGATGCAGAGGATTCCCCAATTGCTCCAATTAATATATCAGAGGGTAGAGGCAGAGGTGGAAATAGAGGTAGAGGCAGAGGAAGAGGGCAAGCCAGAGGCAGAACTAGTCAATCTGAGACTCATGCTGATCATGGAGAATATAACTATGAGAATGTTAATCAAGAACAGATACCCCAGCCAGAGTATGTAACTAGAGATATGTTAGCTAAGGAAATCGGAAAGTTAAAAGAAACATTGACATCCATCATAGGGATACCTCCCAGAATTGAAACTGAAAGAGTTGAGATTTCATTGACATCCTCTGTTCCAGTTATAAACAACAAAGAAGGAGATTTCAAAATGTTTCTCTCTTGCAAACCTCCAACCTTTTCTGGAGAACGAGATATAGTTAAAGCCATGTGTTGGATCAAGAAAATAGAGTATGTATTCAACACTATCAGATGCACAGAGGCAGATAAAGTCAGATTTGCTGTATCTGTATTAAAGTCTAACGCACTGTTCTGGTGGGAAGTCGAATCATTGGCCAGAACATATATTCTACAAACGTTATCATGGGAAGAATTTGTAAACAGATTTGATGAGCAGTTTTGTCCAAAGGTAGCTGTAAGACAGATGGAAGAAGACTTCTTGAAACTGGAACAAGGTATAGGAACTGTTCAGGAATATACAAAGAAGTTCATTGAATATTCTCGATTTTTCGAGCATTATATCTTATCGGAATCAAGAAAAATAGAAAGATATATTTGGGGTTTAAAACCGTCTATTCAGGAAATTGTAATTGCCATGAATTTTGCTACGTTTTCTTTGACAGTGGATGCAACAGAGGTTACTGAAAGAAATACGAGTAGACAGGAGGAAGGAAAAGTCACTGAAAAGAGAAAATGGGAAGGACCTTCAACAGGTTACCGAGGACCAAATTATGTGAAATATGGTAACAGACCTGTTCAGAAATTTAATTGAAAAGCCTGTCCCCGGTGTAAGAAAATGTTATCAGTGTGGTGAGGCAGGTCCCTTGTCAAGGAACTGTCCAATTACTAAAAGATGTTTCAATTGCAATTCACCAGATCATCTTCGACCTAATTGCCCACAATTAAAGATTTCATAGTTGACTATGAGAAGTAATACCTCAAATGCCCGTGGAAGACCAAATATAAGTAGAGGAGGGCAAGGAGGGGTGTGGGGTCGATCATTTCAGATGACTAAAAACGAGGCCGAGACTACACCATATGTAGTAACAGGTACATTTCTCGTAAAATCTCTATATGCTAAAGTGCTATTTGATTCAGGTGCAAACTTTTCATTTATATCACCATCATTTGCCAAATGTGCATGCATGAATTCTGTGCCACTTGACGATAAATTAGTAATTGACACTGCTAATAGTCAAGAATCTGTTGCTTATGTATTCAATAACTGTGCCATTGTTATTAAGGGGTGTGAGTTACTGATTCGACTGTTCACAATGCCAATGAAAGAATTTGATGTAGTAGTGGGAATAGATTGGTTGGCAAAAAATCAGGCCAATATTGTCTGCAATAGAAAAATGATCAGAATTATCTTACCAGACAGAGGGTCAGTTTTTATTTATGGTGACCGTCAGAATCATCATACCAGCCTTTTATCTGTATTAAAAGCCCAAAAGTGTATTCAGAAAAAGTGTCAGGGGTATTTGGCTTATGCTATTGATGCAAAGAAAGAAAAAGGGAAGAAAAAATTGATTCCAATTGTTAGTGAATATCCAGAAGTCTTTCCAGAAGACTTATTAGGCTTACCACTAGACAGAGCTATTAAATTTGGGATTGATCTTATACCTGGGCAGCACCAGTAGCTAAAGCGCTATATCGATTAGCTCTAATAGAACTAAAAGAATTAGTTACTCAGTTAAAAGATCTGCTTGACAAGGGATTCGTTAGACCCAACACTTCACCATGAGGAACACCAGTCTTTTTGTTAAAAAAAAGATGGATCTATGCAGATGTGTATAGACTACTGAGAGTTGAACAAATTGACGATCAAAAATGAATATCCTTTACCAAGGATCGATGAATTGTTTGATCAACAGGTGGGAGCTAGTTATTTCTCAAAGATTGATTTAAAATCAGGATACCATCAGCTCAATGTCAGAGAAGATGACATTGCCAAAACCACTTTCCGAACCAGGTACGGACATCATGAATTTTTAGTTATGTCATTCGGTTTAACTAATGCACCTGCAGCCTTTATGGATCTAATGAATTGGGTATGTAAAGAATATATCGATAAATTCGTTATTGTATTTATTGATGATATTCTCATATACTCTAAAACTGAAGAAGAACACGCAAAACATCTCCGTTTGACACTCGAACTTCTAAAAAGGGAAAAGTTGTATGCAAAGTTGTCCAAGTGTGAATTCTGGTTAAGAGAAGTTCAATTCATAGGTTATGTTATATCAGAAGCAGAGGTAAAGTGGATCCAGTGAAAATAGAGGCAGTCGAGAAATGAGATGCACCAAGAACCCCTTCCGAAGTACGAAGCTTTTTGGGATTGGCAGGTTACTACCGTAAATTTATTCAAGATTTTTCTAAAATAACTGTGCCATTGACCAAATTGACTTGGAAAAATATCAAGTTTTAGTGGGAAGAAGAACACCAAAATGTCTTCCAATTATTGAAAGATCATATTTGCAGTTCCCAGTATTGTCTTTACCAGATGGGTCAGAAGACTTTGTGGTTTATAGTGATACTTCAAATACCCTGGAATCGAATGATGAAGAAATTTTATGCTTTCAAGGACGAATTTGGGTGCCATGCTATGAGAATATTCGGGAAACTATTTTGAATGAAAGCCATAAGTCCTTCTATTCTATTCATCCGGGTACCAATAAGATGTATAAAGATCTAAAACCTTTCTATTGGTGGCCCGAATTAAAAAAAGACATAGCAAGGTATGTGGAACAGTGCATAACATGCTTACAAGTTAAGATCGAACATCAGAGACCCTATGGAAATCTTCAATCTTTGGGAAGAAATTACCCCGAACTCCAAAAGTATATGATGCAATCTGGGTAATTGCGGATCGTTTATCTAAATCTGCACATTTTTTACCAATAAGAGAAGGTTATTCTTTAGAAAGGTTGGCTTAGATGTATATCAAGGAAATTGTAGCTAGACACGGTGTCCCACTATCCATTATTTCTGACATAGATACTTGTTCTACTTCAAAGTTCTGGGAAACTTTGCAAAAGGCTCTAGGGTATCAAATTCGATTAAGCACGACATATCATCCACAAACAGACGGGCAAAGTGAGAGAACCATCCAGACTCTCGAAGATATGTTAAGAACTTATGTTATTGACTTTGGGGGATCATGGGAGGATCATTTGCCATTAATAGAGTTTGCCTATAATAATAGCTATCACTCCAGCATCCAAGTGGTACCATATGAGGTTTTGGGCCATTAAAAATTTGCAAATGGGTTGGGCTAGTGGCATATCAGTTAGAACTACCAGAAGAGCTCAACTTAATTCACAACACCTTCCATGTGTCAAATTTGCGAAAATGTTTAGCTGATCCAAGTCTAGCAGTACCGTTTCCAGAAGTTAAACTATACAATAAACTGAACTTTGTGGAAACACCAGAAACTGTAACTGACTGAAAAATCAGAGTATTGTGGAACAAAGAAATTTGTTTGATAAAAGTAAAGTGGCGTGTTGATCCCAGATCTCTCAATAACACGAATATTCAAGTTATGAATAACCTAAATATATCGTGTGGATGGAAAATAGTGAAGAACACACAAGAATATTCAAGAATAAGTTTTGGTGTCAAATGATTCACTATTATTCAAATGATTGGTTGGAAAGTGTAAACGATTACAAGAATGATAAAACCTATTTATACTAGTAATCTAATTATGGATATTGCTTATCTATGGAAGATATATTGCAAATATCTTTATGAAAGAAAGAAATCTAGAATTATGAAAACTAAATAAAGCAAAGTAAGGTAATGAGAATCCAGTTGTCGATTTGCCATCTCCAGCTGTCTTCTTGATGACAAGTTCAACCATGAGTCATGTGGTCTTCTTGATCGAGTACCTCTGAACTGTTGTGGAAGACTCCAAGTGTTGGTAACCAGAGGGGTTATGGAGATGCGTAGTTCATCGCACCTATGGACCTTCATCGCATCTCTGGTTGTATTGGGTACTTAGACTTTTTGCTTGAGAGTCTTCCATCGACCTTCTGCTCTTTCATACTTGTATGTTTTTCATTACTTTTAAAAATGTGAGTGATGGGGTCTAACAATCTCCCTTTAAGTAATGAAAAAAAACAATGACTAGTCTATGAACAAATGAAAGATTAATGAAAGACAGAGGCTAATCTAGAAAAACATCCTTTTGCCAAAAAAATTCATTTGACTAAAGAGTTGGATGATTTCTTAGAAACAATGAATGAAATGAAATTACAAGAAAGAAATATTTTAAGCATGGTCTCCTCTAGATATTTTCAAAAATTGCATCATCAGTCCTCTGAATCGAATGATTGTGGAGATACCATGAATGAGTTCCTGTCCTTCCTTCATCGGCACATGCGGTCTGCCTAGTCTCTCTCGAATAACTCCCTGAAACCATTCAAGTGTATTGGTTGAATACTTGAAGGCCTTAGTTAGTCTAAAGAACTTTTTAGCTCCATACTCGTTCTTAAAAACCAAGCTGAGTTCTGGTTGAGTTAAGACCGATGCAGATCGCTTCTCCTGTAAGCCTTGGAAATCTTCATCTGGAGGTGTGCAGGAGAGTCTTTCAATACCTAGTTTAAGAGAGATTTGGAAGTCGCTCTTTACTCTGAACTTAACCAAGGTTTCCATCGTCTATACTATCGCTCTGTTGGACATCCCGTACCTTATCCCTTGGTCCTATCGCTGAGCTGTATGACCATAAATATCGATCAAGTCCCATGGATTGAGATTGATTAGATCATTGTCATTGAAGACGTTGATCATCCCATGTGTGCATTCCATGGTATACTAGATGTATTTGATAGCTCGGTTTGCGAAGGTTGTCATCTTGATGTCTAGGACAGTCTTGATTCCATCGTTTGAGAAGACGAATTATGATGGAGAGGTCATCTGTCTCACGAATCTGTGACGAAGCAGGTCCATCGACTCAGGAGATAAGTTGGGAGGGTTGAGGACCAGCTGCTCATCGCAGTCATGGAAGAGAAATTCTAACTTGCTTGAAGATAAGCGTATGTGTTCTATTTTGTATTGTAGATGTAGTGCATGAGGAGAGCACTCAACTATTTATACCCATTACATTAAATGCAATTTAGAAGGGTTATAACACGCGTCATGCTTTTAGAGAAAAGCTTGTCCTTTGCAACAGTGAATAGTACTATTGTCTATTTATGAGCAGACATCCTTTCCTGATGTTGGTGGGCACTAGAGTCGACTAGTCGGCTCCGTGCAGTACTATACTCTTGAAAAGGTATGGGTTTTTCCTTTGTGTATGGAAGGACAAGAGAAAAACAATTGTGCATGGCAAGCATCATTTGATCACTGAATGCTGGAATAACGTTGGAGGTCTCTTCAGCATTCACTGAGGCTTGTGTAGTCTTCACACATATGTTGACCAGGTTGTAATCACTGCATACCGCTTCAGATCACGAACGCGTCAGTCACTAATCTTCAGTTTCAGTCTTCGACATTCACTGAAGTTTCTTGGGTGTGAGTTTTGTCTTCTTGAAGTATCGTTATCGTTGTAGGATTACAATACATGTTTCAGTTATCACTGAACAGACTTGGTGATGATCGCTGGAACTGAAAAGACAGAAACATAATACTTCGAAAGGTAAAAGGGATCATTATCAAATCAATGAGAGAGAGGATCAACATGCATATTGCCATGGCGTCTTGGTAATTTTGAACTCTGTACCTTGGACTACCGGTATGTGATAAGGGTAGTATTATTGACTTTTTGATTTT